ATAGCCTCAGATACTAGTGCTTTAAGACTTTAGTCTTTGAATTTATTTCTTTAGCTAAAGAAGATCCGAATGTTCGATGTTATCGAAACAGATTATTATGAAGGCGGGCACTCCTTTGCCTTTGAATTGGCAAACGCTTGCGGTTTTTAAGTAACCATAATCTTGGTTTCAGCGTACAGACCGGAAACTAACATAGACTACTACACCTTATAAGTAGCGGCGATAACTGTAATTATGGTCAGAGTAGAAAAAGCAAAGTCCGAAGAGGACTTTTCTTATATCTTATGAATCAGCGATTTTTGTCTTCTTTAAGAGGCAAGGTTAGAGAATATCTTCTAAACTGAGTAAATGATGTAAGAATATAAAGTTCAACAACTTGGTTTTTATGTTAAAGTTTGAGCAATTAATATGCGCATTGTTTTTTCAAAAATTTTTAAAAGATTTTTTCAAAATAAAAAAGGCTTGAATATCTTTCTCATTAACATAAAAAAAATATATATATATATATATATGCTGTAGCGTTAATGGTTTGCGTCAATAAATAATTTCTACAAAACATAAAAAAAAAAAACAAAAACGTTTGGTTTTATCACTTTGCACAGTATAGAAATTTACATAAATTATGTTTATTTCTAATATGCGCAAATAGTTATGAATAAAAATGAATTTTTTCTACTTCTTCTTCGTTTACTTAAAAATATAAAAGTTCTTGCACTTAAATTTTACCAAGAATTTTAATTAAAAATAATTATTTGTGTATACAATGAGAAAAAAAAAAGAAACTCCTAAAAAAGAACTTAATGGTTGATCGGTAGTTACCCTACTGAACCCAGTATTACCAGCAATTGCGATTAGCTCTGTTACGTATATGTCATGTCATGCCATGTCTATGAAAGGTTTTAAATGGTTCCGAGACATTTTATTGAAATATTTTCCTTGTGACTATGGCAGTGGAAAACGACTTTCCGCAAATATTATGCAAAACTTGATAGATGCATCTTTCCGTAGCGCAATAAAATACCCATACCATCAAGATTATCTTCAGCTAGATACTACGTTTTGAAAGATGGACACTACAAAGCTCTAATGTAAAATAAAATCTCCTTATAATTGGTTGATGATTTCACACCACCTTAGGGAATAACTTATTTAAATTTTTTTTTTTTTTTTTTTTTATTTCCTAATTGTTAGGTATTTTGGCAATTGAGCGGTAAGTTTGAACGTTTGCTTCTCAAATTTAGTTTTGAAATTAACACAAATATTAATAATTCATTAAACGCAAATATTTTATAATCACATTAAGCACCAGGTTAAGTCTTGCTTTCAAGTTTACGGTTTTGTTTTTAAATATTTTTTCTTCGTTTTTTATTTTTATTTTTCACCTCAATGCTTTCCTTAGTGAATTTTTTTTAATGACTAAATGCAGTAAAAACTATTTTTGTGTATTTTGTGTGTATTTCATTATATAATCACAAAGCAGCTAAGAAAAAGGCGTGCTACACGCCAAAAAAAAAAACAAAGAAAAAAAAAAAAACAAAAAATTATTGGATGTTGTCAAAATTAGTTTATTTAAATATTATATTTAAGCTTGAAAAATATTTGTGAATTTTTAAGCAAATTTATTTTCAAAGTTTATAATAATAAATAGCAAAACAATGCCCACATAAATTCCAATAATATAATAAGTAATAGAATTTGTATGTGTATTCATTCCGATGAACCCTCATCTACTTGGAAGCGTTTTTGTTCCTCTATCCGTTTTCAAGTGCTTTTGTATATGCCGAAGAGGCAAAGTTGTCTTTAAATTTCTTGTAAAACGACTCAGCCTAAAGACTAAGCAATTACCGGAAGCTTATTACAATCTTTTTGTAACAAAATCCTAGGAATATTTTTCTTTTCTATCCACGTTTTCATGTACGAGCTCTGTTGTTTTTCAAAGTGGTACAAGTCGATGTTTTCATGTGTCTTAGATCACTCGCACGGCACAAGCGTATATTTAGTTTGTCAGAACGATTTTTTATACCGACCGACTCAGTATATCTGCTCGATCAGCATATCTGTCCGTCTGTCCGTCTTACTTTTCTTGTGTTCATCAATCTACAGGCCATAATATTTTATATACATTATGATGAAATTTTGCACACTAATAATATGTGTTGACGTGAACGATGAAAGCTATTGAAAATGGTTCGAATTGGGTCATGTTTTCGACCGTTTTCCACACAATGTTATGTTTTCAAAACTTTATATATATATATATATATATGTATATAAAACTGTAGGGTATTTAATGGCAGTGACCCCACTATAACACTTTAACATGTTTATTGTGCAAAAAAAATTATACGCCCCTGATTGTATAATTACGAATAGGGAGAGAAACTGTCTATATCTTACTAAAATTACAGTTAACTAATTTTTTCTTTGTTAAAGTCGACTTATACAACTTTTGACAATAACAATTAATATATTACTAATACATTTTTGAGAAAATAACTTTAAACGCTTTTCGTGTTGTTCATTACATGTTTACCTAATGTCAGCTATCAATTACGCAATAAATAGACTTTTCAGTTAATTGTCTAATAAATGCTTTTGAGAAGCATTAAAATGACGCTCGATAAATTATTAACGATGATATGATGGCAAGCTCTAACTCTCTCTCTCGCTTTAAAAATATAAAACGCTTAAGTAATAGATATTTAACTTGTCTATTATAATTGAATGCATGTGAAAATAGCTTTAAATGCAACGAGATATCAAAAAATACATTTTAGCGTAATACAGTTAGAATTTTATTGACTCGCTATTAATTAATTTGATGTTTGAAGCATGTCTTGGGGATAATTAAATCAACGATAGAAAAAGCTTATAATAATTTTTGAGTAAAACTGCTGTTTGGTGGAGTAATTTATTTTGCCAAACAACTTACGAGGTCCACGAAATAACTTAAATGTGACTGCAAGTAAGAATCTTGATATGATTAATATTAGCTCTGCCCAATCGATCGAGCAAGACCATCGGATGACCTTTTGCAAGCTATATGGAGAATTTTTTTTTAAAAAGTACCTTCAAGATTTTTGGCGACTCATTCCAGTGGGCTATACTCATAACGGAGCAAAAGTGAGCAATATTCACTAATAATATATGAATGTTGTTAATCATTATCAGTATAGAAGTATGGAATTGTAAAGGACGAGAATCACAATTCATTGGCACAGAATAACTGTGACGACAGCAGTCGTAATAATTGGTGCCATAAGCCATAAAATCTTATTAAAAAACGAGAGCAAAATTTTGATCAAAATTAAGAGATTATTAGAGACTCTAAAAAAAAAAAAAAAAAAAAATTCATTTTTTGTTCATTTTTTGTTCATTATTACGAGCTTATCATTGGAACAGTGAGAACCTTTTCGCTCATAAACATCTGAAAAAATATTGAAGGAATTTTTAATTATTTCTACGAAATTGTTTCACTCATTTCATTATTATGGATGAGTTGTCAATTTCAGTCATAATATGTGGAAACCGAACTACGCTCTCAAGAAACTGATGAGTAAGCAAACAGAAGAAAAACAAAATTATTTTTTGCTTGTTGATTAACGTATTTAACATTGTTGCTGCTTGCTCGCCTAAAATCAAAGGAATGATATACAAATAAATTGTCAACGATATGAATAAATCGTGTTTCCAATGTCAAGGTTGCATAATTTTCTTTCCCAAAATTTTTATATTTTTCGTTATTTTGTTTTGCTATTAAAGAATAGAAAGTGAGGAAGGAGTGGGGGGGGCCCGGCGGCCCCGGTGTACTACTTTTATCTATATAATTTTATTATATTTCTAAATATCGAAAATATCAATCAACGAGCTCATATATATGTATGTTCCTACTTAATGTCAGGTTAACCCACCCACGTCCACGAAAATTTGGCATTTCCCTTAGAACACATAAATAAGAGATAAAAAATTTGCATTGTATTCTTGATATTCTTAATTTGATTCCCCCGATCAAGTAGACAGGATGACATGAGACAAAGAGTCAATGAAGACTGTCACCAAACTGTCACTTTTACGAATCATGCCTTTCCTATTAATAACTAATTTGTTCTTGTTTTTTTTTTTTAAGAATTCAATGGTCACACTAACGTGACGAGCATTTGCACGAATATTTTTTTTTACTGAACAATAGAATGTTTTCCATGCGACTGCGGACTGAAATGAATCTATGGCAGCAGACCTAGCCGACGCGATATGTCTGCAATCGACCCCTGTCTCGTTGGAAAGGGAGGGGGGAGGAAGGAAACGTGGAAGTGGTTCACTCTATCTGTCTGACTGTCCACGGAAGATGTGCTTGCCGCACTATGTGACTACCTAATCTAATCTAGTTAGCTACTTCGTGAGCGATCATGTTGACATTATTTCAATAGCTCCCTTGTTCTCTCTACCTATGGATCTGCATGTGAGATTCCCCTCGAAACTTTGTGCCAAGATCCCATGTTTACATTTTAAGCTCTAAAAATTCCAGCCTTTCCCCGTTAGACGAGAACTTCTGCACGTATTTTACTTATATTTAGTAAGTTTACGCATTAAAGTTACATTTTGTGAAAGTTTGTAAAAATGTATTAAATGGTAATCCATTGTATATTTTTTGGAGCTGTAACAAGAAATCTTTCTTTGGCTATGACATATGCCAAAAATATTTTTCATTATAAACGTTAAAGACATAAACAAGAACAATGTAAATAAAGAGTTGAAAATAAAAACTTTGCAGAAATTTGAGAAAATTTAGCTGAAATTTTTAGCAACGTATGGTTAAGCGGGATTTCATTTAAGGTTTACTTATCAGCAAAAAAGTCTTTAGTCTTAAGTAAACACTTTTGAAAGTTTTTTGTAGGGTTTGCTAAACAACAATATTTTTTTTTTTTTTTTTTTTTTAATCTTTAGTTACTTTAATCTAAGAAAATTTTATTTATTTATTTTTCTTTTTTGTTTATTTGTAGGTCAACATCTGGTTGCAATGGTATATTTTCACGACGCTTGGATTTTTCATCCTTTAATTTATTGCCGAAAACACGTTTGAATTCCTATCAAGTTAAGGTAAGTTTTTGAATAACACTCTCTATGAAAATGAATAATATTGTAGTCTATCTCTTCTCCTCTTCCTTAAATATATATAAATATACATGTATATTTGGCTACAAAATGCGTGATGTTTAGCATATTAATTGAAGATTTTTTTCTATTATATCAAGGACAAAAGATTTCAAAGACAAAAAAAAAAAAAACAGAATTTAATTTGAATCAAATATTTTGCAATAAGTGTGTGTTATGTGAACAATAATAATAATATCTTTCGCTCATAAAACCGGGTCTCTCGTCTTTCTCAGAACGTAGTACTAGTTTTTTCCCCATAATTTTTGAACTTGTTTGTCGGAAAACGTTACGTTTTTTTGCTGAATCGATTTTTAATATCGAGTACTTTTTCATATTTGCTTCGTATTTTTGTACAGCGAGCTTCGATATAATAGAAATCTTGAATTTTAACAAATTGAACTATGAATCTAACCCAAATTTATATAAACTTGTATTCCATTTTGCCATACTTTCGCTGGAGCAAACTAGCACTTTGCAAAATTGTTCGCAAATTCTTAAGACGCCTTGGTTTCTTCCGTAACAAAATCAACAATTCACATAAAAATGCGAAAAATTGCTATAGAGGATGTTTCATAATTTACCCAAATTAAGTTTTTTTAATTGTAATTTTCTTTATTGAGTCATATGTGTATGTATAGGATAGGAAAATACCCTGCAGGTCTTTGCTGGCACATACGTACTGTCGAAATTTTTCAAGACTGCACCAAGCAGCGTTTTAAATCTCCTCCTTTAATGCATGAATGGTTGTAGGGTTATTGGCATAGACTTCTTACTTCAAATAAATCCACAAAAAGATATCCAGTGGTGTCAATTACCCTGATCACAGTTGATGCACATATTTTGTACAAAAATTTGTGAACTGTGGTCCGCAAACTTTTTATTATTTTTAGAATATTGCTCAGCGATTCAAAAACATTGCTCTCTCGTGTAATGCTCCATTTTTATTAATCCTAAACTGTCAGCTGTCAAACTGGTTTTTTTGTTCCGACTTGCGAAGACTTTCCAGCACGAATGACGACAAAATCAAATCTTGAGCAAAAGTTGGGCCACCATACATAATCACCTGTTCGTCCGACTTTTATAAGCCTCATCTTAAAGCAAATCGAATTCAAAAACCATGCACAATAGATGAGACAACGAAGAATGGAGAAAAGAGACTACAAAGACTTGAAATTTTACGCTCATTTGAAGCAAATATTTACCAAAACGATCGACGAAAGGAATTGATAGTGCACAACACCACTTTGGTGTGCGTTATCCGGTTATGGTTTAATTTTTGCACCATATTACCTCGATTGATCGAAGTCATGTGCGCAGATCCAAGTTTCATCTCTGGTTTCATATCAGTCAGACATCATCCTTCTCACAATCAATTTGGGATAGAAATAATTTTTCTATTCGATATTCATCCGCGCAATTTAACTTGAATTGCTGATCATACTTTTTGATCACAGCATTAATTCATATCTTAACCTCGAAACTGTCAGAATTGTCAAAAAAAAAAAACCTATAAATAAATCAAAAATGTAATCCCGACAATAATTTTCAAAGTGCTTTGAAATATGTTGATCTTCACTCTAGTTTGCAATCAGTCTAATTCTATGCATGGGCGGCTAATGGGATATTCAGTTGAAGCCGGATGTAACTTCTTATATTCAAAATTGAATTAATTTATTCTCCACAGTATTCTCCGTAATGAAATGGATGAAAATGCGATTGGTTTCAAATACGTTTTGCAAAAATTCTAAACTTTCTGCTCGTTTTTACTACTTACTGCATTTATTGCTTTGTTCTGATTTGTTTTTTTCTTTTTTTTTTTTTTGTATGTCGTTACACAAAAAATTTGTCACAGTTAATTTTATGGTTTTTATGAATTCGTAGAATTTTTTTTTCTGTTCATAGAATTACATAATACATGAGTGGTTGTATTATGAATTTTTTTTTCTTTTCTTTTTGTTAATCGATATCATATTCATTTTTTGTGTATGCATGCATACATACATATGCACAAAACAAAAATGTATCATATACTTATTTGCTTGTTTATACGCGAGCTTTGTTTAGCTTAGCTTAGCTTACTCATCATCATCATCATCATCATCATTGTTCATTTCACTCTATTACCGAAAACAATAACAATCAAAGCCCTTAGTTGCATTTCTATCGTTTCGTTCGTAAAAAAATCATTTTTTTTTTATTTTTTTATTATTATTATTTTTGTTTTTAAATTAGTTTTTTGTTTAGATAATAAAAAAAATTGTGTATGCTTTTGTCACGTTCTCTATGCATGAAAATAAAATGCTGAAAAAAACAAAAAAAAAAAAAACAAACAAACACCGATCCCGTAAACTTTATATAAACATAATTTCCGAATTCACGAAAAATTTTCTCGGGCAAACACAGGTTGTGTGATTGATTGCTCATTAAATATGGGAATATGGTTTTAGATCGCCTCACCACATTTTATTTACATAAAAGCCAAAAGTTGATCTACTCTTGCGGGTCAAGTTAGAGCAACAAAGAACAATTGGAGCACATTCTCCACAGTAAAGTGTTGATGAAATTAGACTCGAGCATAAAATAAACAATGTGAACCGTCCTCTTTTATTGCGCACTTTGAGCATAATGTGTGTATGTTGCAGTATGCTGCAATCTACTGAACTTTTCTCTCACCTATCGAAAATAATAAAAAAGATTTTAATAGTCGGATCTCTTCAATTCGGTTCAAACTCAATATAAACTTTTGCGCTTAATGTTGCCTTAATTTTTTCGTATATGTGTCTATTAGAGAAACTAAATAAGTGTATATGTAATTACAAATGTTCTCGTTTTATTATCTTGTTGTACGTGTAAATTTACAAATTAAACTTTTTTTTTTTTTTCTTTTATTAACTTTTCCAATAATTAGTTCAAGAAAACAAAACAACAACAAAAAAAAAAAAAAGAAAGAGGTTAATGAACTCGTCGCCTATGTAAATACAATGTTTGTTAATTTATTAATGTTGAGAAAGACATAAAATAAATATGTAATTTTTGTATTTAGAAAACACAAAATTCCATGAAATTGAAGAACTTTGAAAAAAAAAAAAAATAATAAAGAGATAGAAAAATATACACAACAGCGCCGCTTCTTTTCATAATCAACATATTGTGTCGGCTAATGTTGAAAATGATCTATTTTTGCTGGTGGATGGTTTGTAAAGAAGAAGAGGAAAAAAGCCAACAAAAGATTGTTACCTATTGTTGTTAGAGAATTTCATAAATCATTCGTCTAACTGTAACAACTGTAAATATGATTAATTAGCCTTCAAAAAATGTTTACAGTTTGCTTCTCTTTCCACATACACTACATACACCAAATGTATCCCCTCCCCCTTTACTCGAATAAAAAACAACAACAACAACAATAAAAAACCAAAAAAAAAAAAAAAAATAAATAAAGACGAGCTATCATGACGCCTATTAACGGAAAAATATCTATATACATATAATTTCGTAATAACTAAGTAAAGGGTTAAATATTGTGTTGACAGCTGCTCGCGCGATTCGTACCAAATTTTAAATCAACCCTTTCAATCATTGGTGGCCAAATTGCATTTCAAGGTACACTGATACTAGGTTTACCGACACAGCTCAATTGGACGGCTAAATTTAGTAAATCCGCACAGTCCCAAATTTGATTGATAAGAAAGTTAAAAATTTTACAAGAAAGTTCTTTGATTAATTTCAATACTGGGAAATAAATTAGAATGAAGATGTGGTCCTTAATTGCGGACCTGTGATATGTAACCCCTCGGCTGATCAAAGTTCGTTTATTGTGGACGTTCAACTGGATACTGAAATGCTTTGCTATTGATGACTTTGTGAAGGCTTTCAAAGGAAGTTAGACTCATTCTTAAACCTTTGGATTCGTGTGATAAAATGCGGTGGACGATTACAAGGGTTAATGATAGAGTGAGGTGTGGTTTTCTTCTCTGTTCAGATAATTTAAAATTGGTTTATTACCTTATAGAAGATGCATATTGACCATTAACATTTTATGGGATCAAGTTATTAGCAGTGTATCGTGTAGTAATAGTTGAAGAAGCAAGTTTCCTTTATTTGAGTCCTACTGGTGGGTTTTCATGCATTTTCTCATTTCATGATTTAATCACAATTTTTGATTATTTTACTTAATACTCCCGACGCCTTCTTTGCAATCGAAATGTTTAAAGAAATCACTTTAGGAAAGATTTTCCCTATCATAGTATCATATATTTATTGGTAATACTACTATGACGTCATATTTGAAATGATTTCTTTACTAATATCTATCTATAAGTAGGATTGCAAATATTTTTAAAGCTTTAAAAAATGGGAAGGAAAATGATGAAGGTTGCATATGTTGGGAAACTCTGCATTCAGTAATTAACAGTTTTTATTCGTATGACTGACTGTTTAAACAAAACAAGAAAAAATTGTATCTAATCCATGTAACAAGTTGACTTGTTAATTATTTTGATCTCTCTTTCTTCTTCTAACTGAAGGGTTTATTACTTCACTTGGTTAACGGTTAATCCTTTTCAAAAAAAAAAAAAAAAAAAAAAACAAGATATGAAACCCAATTGAAATGTCTTGCTTTAAAATAAAGATTAAAGGCATATGGTATAAAAATAATTTCAAATCCCGCTTTTATTACATTTTATACTCATCTACTTCGAGTAGTCATAGTTTCATACACCCGGATGCCCTATTGTTTGCTGCTTAACTCCTGAGCCAGGCATAATATGCATAAGTAATAGGAACTCTTTTTTTTTCTTTGTCTTTTTTTTTTTTTTTTCAAAATATATATATATATATATGTATATATATATATGTGCTCTGTAGACCGAAAGTTTATTTAATATGAAAAATCCTTATAGCAACATAAACATCATTGTCTTGTTGTTTTCGTTCTTATCCTT